ACTGTGTACCATGGACTTTGAGTGTGTCCCCCGTACCTGCCCCCATGTTCCTTTCATACTGTCTGTCATGTACTTTGAGTGTGTCCCCCGTACCTGCTCCCACGTTCCTTTCATACTGTCATGGACTTTGAGTGTGTCCCCCGTACCTGCCCCCATGTTCCTTTCATACTGTCTGTCATGTACTTTGAGTGTGTCCCCCGTACCTGCTCCCACGTTCCTTTCATACTGTCATGGACTTTGAGTGTGTCCCCCGTACCTGCCCCCATGTTCCTTTCATACTGTCTGTCATGTACTTTGAGTGTGTCCCCCGTACCTGCTCCCACGTTCCTTTCATACTGTCTGTCATGTACTTTGAGTGTGTCCCCCGTACCTGCCCCCGTGTTCCTTTCATACTGTGTATCATGTACTTTGAGTGTGTCCCCCGTACCTGCTCCTGCATTCCTTTCATACTGTGTACCATGTACTTTGAGTGTGTCCCCCATATCTGCCCCCATGTTCCTTTCATACTGTGTATCATGTACTTTGAGTGTACCCCCTGTACTTGCTCCCGTGTTCCTTTCATACTGTGTACCATTACTTTGAGTGTGTCCCCGGTACCTGCTCCCGTGTTCCTTTTCCCCCTTTCCCCTCTCATTGGTCCCCTCTTCCCCCAGTTTCATGTCTGCTTTCATGTGATCAGAACAAATGTGATTTTCATATATCTCTAAAGTCTAGAACTCCCAAATGACAGAAAACATGATACTTGTTTTCCTGACTTAATTCGTTTAATATGATTATCTCCAGTGGTATTCATTTTCTTTATGCCTGAAAAGGTTATGTGGCATTGTGTTTATTCCTTCAATGCTTAATAGAATTCACAAGTGAAGCCACACGAGCCAGGCATTTTATGTGTGCTAAGTTACAAACCTTGTGGGTCCCAGAGAGCATCACAGTCATCAGGCTTGACGGTGAGTGCCGGTACCTGTTGGGCCACCTTGAGTTTTCTTTAGTTTATGGATTTCAACCGCTATGTTTTCTCTTTTTTGAGACAAGGTCTCCCATAGCCCCAGCTGGCCTAGAGCTGACTGTGTAGACCAGACTGGCCTTGATGCCACAGAGATCCTCCTGTCTCTGCCTCTGGAGGCCGGGATTAAAGGCGTGTCTACCATGCCTGGCCTTTCTAATGTTTGTATGATATTATTTTACTGTTTCTTTTTTTATATTATTAATGTTTTCTTTTTTCCTAGTTTAAGCTGCCTAGTAGTTTTAAAATTTTTATTGATTTTTTTCAAAATAGATTTTGGTTTCACTGAGTATTGTTTTATTGTTTTTTAGATTTTTATGTACGTAATGTACTTTGATCATATTCATCTTGATTTCTTTCTCTTATGCCCATTCTACTCCTTCTGACCCCCTTCCTCTTTCCAATTAGTCCCTCTAAAGCCTTCATTTTTTTTTTTTTTTTTTTTTTAATGACTTACATTGGGGTTTCTTACACAATCCTGGGTGAGGGACTGTTGGCAAGGCTGTGGTCACCTCACCAGTGGTACACCACTGAAGAAAACATCTCTCCTTCCCCAGTATCCTAGCTTGCTTCTCTGTTGCTATGATAAACACCTTGACCCCATGATCAAAAGCAACTTAAAGGAGGAAAGGGCTTATTTAGCTTACATTGCTGGGTCACAGTTCCATTCAGGGAAGTCAAGGCAGGACCTTGATCAGGAACTGGAAGCAGAACCCATGAAGGAGCGCTGTTTCCTGGCTACCTAAAGATGACACTGTGCAAAGTTGGCTGGGCTCTTCCACACCAACAATCAAGACACTTCCTCACAAACATGGCCATAGGCCAATCTGATCTGAACTAGCCCCCAATTCAGATTTCCTCAGTTGACTCTGGGTTGTGTCAAGTTGACAGCTGAAACTAACCACGATAGACAGCAGTCTTTAACTGCCTGTAAATCCTCAGGGACTGGTGGGGCCTTGTAAGTTGTTCTTTGCTCCCTGACAGGATGTTGGGAGGCCCATTCTTAATCAGGTCTTATTCAGGTAATCAAGGACATAGCACTCCCAGAGGTCAGCATTCCACGCCCTGCCTCCTTTTATTTTCAGCTCTTACATTCTTTCATGCCCTTCTTGTGCTGTTTTCCCCGAGTGTTGGGGTGGTGGTGGTGGTTTAGATGTTCTGTTTATGGCTGAGCTTTTGAAACCTTTGCTGTCATCACTTTGACCAGTTACGAGCCTCTAGTTAGCATTGCCCTCTCAAAAAGAAGCTTCTTTTTCTTACCAAACCTGACAGCAGCAGCAGTCTATGGGGATAAACACAGTTACCTAGAAGGCAGTTTGATTGGCACATCATGCCTATTTAGCAAAATAACTGCATAGCTTTCCTGCTGGGGCTTATGATATCCCCAACCATGAGCTTCTGACTGAGTTTTCAGCACTCAAACAGGATTCCTTCCTGTCGATAAGGCCTGAAATCCAACCAGAGAGCAGCCAGTTACCCCCATAACAGTCTTGCCACTGTTGCACCAGTGGGAACATCTCCCCTTGCATGTCAATAGTGCTGCATGCAGGGTCTACAGCTAGTTAAGACTGTTGATGACAGTCTCCAGCAGCCTGCTAGCACCTTTTGCATTCTGAGGACTAGACAACAGGGAGGACATTTCACAGAACCCAGCCTACTACACTTACTGTGTAGTCGGGGATACATGGTCTTAAACTCCTGATCGTCCTGTCTCTACCTCCCAAGTGCTAGGGATACATGACCATGCTTGGCATTAAAACAACAACAACAAAAAACAATGAAAACTAGTTGTTTGTATTTAATTTAATTTTGTGTTTCTCATAGTTGTGGGGGTTTGTTGTTTGTTTGTTTTGTCTTGTTTGGTCCTGGGATTGAATTTAGGACCTAATGGATACTTAGTTTCTTAAAATTGATATATGGATTATTGATTTTTTTTTATAACTTTTTGTTTCATCGCCCTACCTTGGTAGGCTTTGTTTTCATTATCATATAAAGGATTTTCTAATTTCTTTTGTGATACTTTCTTTGAGCCAGTTAGTTTTTAGGAGTGTGGTGTTTAATCTCCAAATAATTTGGCTTTTCTGGTTATCTTGTTTTTCTTAATTCCATTTTTGTAATAGAACATACACTGTATGATTTCCATCTTGTCAGTTATTGAGGCTTGCTTGGATAGCTTTACTTACAGAATATTGTAATAAACGCATTTGGAAGTAATTAGCTTGGCTGTTAAGTCTAGGGTCTTATATACACTGAGTCATGATGGTTGTTAGTGTTGTTCAGATCTGTGTTTCCTGGTTTTTAGCCTATTGTTACATCAGTTGCTAGAGAAGTGTTAGGGTCTCCAGCTGTGTTTGTGAAGCTGCATATCTGTGACTGTGTTAGTGGTCACATATATGTCAGTGTTGTTCTTTTCCTAATTGACATTTTGTTTTGAAATGTTCTTTGTCTGATGTTAATATGACCAGTCTTGGCTTCTTGCTGTTGACATGATGTCTCTTTGAGCCTGTCTGTATCTTTATTCAGTTTCTTATAGATGGTATATATTATGGTTCCTATTTTTATTCTGACAGTGTTTGCATTTTGCTTGTTTGTTTGTTTTGGGGTTTTTTTTTTTTTTTTGGTTTCCCTGTAGCCCCAACTGGCCTGGAACTCAATATGTAGACAAGGCTGGGCTTGATCTCAGAGATCCGCCTACCTCTGCTGGGACTAAAGGTGTGTGCCACTCCCCTCCCCCTCTCATCCCTGCTCAACAATGTGTGGTTGTGTTTTAATCAGTCTTTTACAGTGTGTTCTTCTTTCTTGCTTACTCATGCCAGGTAATTTTGAGTGATACCCTTAGTATGGCAGCTATGTTCTATAGCTTGGATTCTGGTTCTTGTCTCCTTGAAATGCTTTCTTTGTTTTGGCAAGTCATTTTCTTGGCTTGATCTGGCGTGGAAGTGCTTGTGTTTTGCCAGTAGCTCTGGTCTCAGTTCAGAATGGTTGTATTTGGATGAATTGTTTTGAATCTTTGCTGTGCTTGTGTGGTTCAAGGATCAGTTAGAGACATGAGTAGACTTGGATTTCCTGTCTCTTGAGTGTTTTGGTGCCTTGCTTTGGCGTATTAATTTCCAAAGTGAGAAAGCTGGGTTGGACCTGTGCCTTGTTGCTGTCATCTTGGTGTGTGGCCTGCACTTAGTCCCAGGTAAAACTTGAGTCCCAGGTGCCCTTGATCCCCAATGAAACGCCTTGGGCCTGGGAATCAGGATTTTTATAGCTGCTTGTGGCCTTTCCTCCAGGAGAGCCGGTGCTCCTTGCTTATCTGTCACATTTCACTTCCTTAGTGTTTTGGGTTGGGTTGGGTTGGGAGAGGAGGGTCCACAAAATTGTTTCATAGTTGGTTTCTACTAGGAATTCCTTTGGTAGGGCCTTGGAACAGAAGTCTACCCTTTTCCACTCTTTAATCCCCCCTTTCTAATTACTGAAAAATAGCTATTTCTAACTCTTCCTATCCTGTGTCTCTTCACACCCTCTTCTTCAGTCTTGTTCACCTGTTACTCATTTCTACTTAGCTCCAACATTTTCTACATTTGGCACAAAGGAAACATTAAGGAGTGCTAGGAAAAATTGGAGCCTTTTTATGTAAAGGATTTTACAGCTCAAATATATACAGTTACATTTAATAGAAAGGTGAACTGAAAGGTGCACACCCAGTGAACTCTTAAGTCTTTGCTTGCCATAAGAAGGAGATGCCAGATTTGACATAGATGAGCTATATAGTGTGTCAGTACTACTACTCTACCAATTATTTTACTAATTTTTATCCATTTCAAATAGTTGAACTGAATATTGTTACATTGTGTTAATATACTGTGTATAGATAATTTCAGGGTCCTTACATTGTGTTAATAGACTGTGTATAGATAATTTCAGGGTCCTTATGTTGTGTTAATTAATATACTATGTATAGATAATTTCAGGGTCCTCTTTGGTGTGAATGTTCTGACTTTATATCCAGGTGAAACCTACTGATAGCTGCCTCTTCTTTATCAAATGCTTTGATGACACCATTCATGGCTTCAGGGTTCCCAAGAATAGCCTCCAGCAGACAAGAGAGGTAATCTATGGATTGATTCGTTTATTTTTTTAAATTTATTTTTATTTTTTATGTGTATGAGTGTTATGCCTACATGTGTGTGTATCTGAGTCATACAATGCTCACAGAAGACAGAAAAGGGCATTGACTCCCTGGAACTAGAGTTATAGATGGTTGTTAGCCACCACGTGGGTGCTGGAATTTGAACTCAGGTGTTCTGCAAGAGCAGCCAGGGCTCTTAACTGCTGAGCCATCCCTCCAGCCCCTGAATTGATAAATTGATTCATTTCTATCCTAAAATTTAAGTGAAAGTTTTTCATCGATTTGAGTGCTAATTAATGTATACTTGTAGATGACATTTTAAAAAGCACTTGCAGTATTTGCTTTATGCAGACATGTCACAGGCAAGAAACTGTGTCATGTCACTGCAGTTGCTTTTTTTCCATAATAATTTCTTCCATTTAACCTTTATGCTTCATAGATCATTGCTGTCTTTTTGGAGTAAAAATACTTTTATGTAAATTCCTGGATTGTTTCAGAAGTGGCTGGAAGCAGTTGAAGAACACTCTGCATACAGTACTCACTACTGCTCCCAGGACCAGGTGGCTGATGATGAAGAGGAAGATGCAGTTTCTGCTGTATACCTGAAGGAGTCTTTAGAGGTACACAGACCCTTATAGCTAATTTTGTCTTGTAGGTTTAATCAAGAATTACCTTTTATTAAGAAGTGAAGTTTTGGAATTGATTTCTGACAGTGGAAATAATTGCTCTTTGTCTAGTCATGTTCTGTTGATACACCTCTGGTCATGGTGCTCTGAAATACCTTGGTGTAAGTGCTGTAAGGCTATGAATTTGTGTCTGTATGGATACTTGACTCAATCAGCCATTCTATTGAAAAGCTGCCCCATTAGGTGGAAAAGGAGAGCTTGACCTGCTCCCTTTATGACTTCATTGCACATTTCAGAGTTTGGTTCAGAACAACCATAGTGACACACTTCTTGGTCAGTAGTTTCATTTAAAACTACTTGCAATATGTCACTTCATTACTTAGGGGTTAAGTAAAGCCTCAGTTATGAGTGGAGACATCCTCATCTGAAGTGACAACAATTCCTTATCCATACCTGACATGAACAGGTATTTTTTTGAGGGGCAGGGGAGGGAGCAGACATTAGTTTATTGGCTGTACCTTTTAGGTGCACCTTGTTTATAAAAAATCATGTACTTTGGACCGCCACAGGCCTCTCTCCTACCCGCAGGCCTCTCTCTGGGGTAAGTCCATTGCGCCCTCCGTGCCTTGACACCCCCAGCCCCATTCACTCTCCTGTCTGTGCCTTGACTCCCCCAGCCCCATTCACCCTCCCATCTCCTCCGCTGTTCTCTCCCATTCTGCCCCATTCCTTGTCTTGGGGCCCCAGGCACCTGGGGAACCAATACTGCCCCCTGATCCTTTTCATCTAGACCAACAGAGTGCCTTCTATGGGCCCCATGAGCACTGCTTCTGGGCCTGGCCCCACCCTCAACTCCCTCTGCTTCCCTGGGCCTGCACCACCCACCAAACTCCCCCAGCCTCACTCACCCTCCCATCTCCCCTACTGGTCTCTCCTTCTAGCATGGGTCCTGTCCCATTCCTTGTCTTGGCGCCCCAGACACCTGGGGAACCACCACTGCTTCCTGGTCCTATGCATCTAGAGCAACTCAGTTCCTTCTTCGGTCCCCAGGGGCACTCTGGGCCTGGCCCCACCCTCACTTCCCTCTGTCTCCCTGGGTCTGCATAACCCGCCAGCCTCTTTCCTGGACACCCCGGCAGACCTTTCCTCTTCCTGGTACTTTGCATCCAGACCAACCCAGCTCCTCAGTGCAGTCTCCAGGGACCCTTGGAGCCGCCTTCCACCCCCATCTTCCTTTGTACCTCTGGGTGGCCCAGCCACCAGCTGCTCTAGACCAGCATCTTTCCTGGGCCTGGCTCCAAGGCCAGTCCAACCCCAATATTCCTGAGGCCAAAATCTATCCTGGAGGTATCCAGACCTTAGGAGAAAGCCTGGGAGTGTCTGATCCTCATGTGACTTGGGCCTCTGTGGGAACTCCTGAAGACAAAAATCAATCTGGCCACTCCAATATAAAATCAAAACAGAGAACTGGAAGCTTAGAGGAACCAGCCTATCATGCCCAAAAAGTAAACCACAAAGACACATAATGTTCATAAAAAGAAAAGGACATAAACTTGAAGGCTTGAGTCTCACACAAGAATCAGAAACTACAAAAGAAATTCACACATCAAAATCACAGAGAAAAAATAATAACACGAAAAACCAAAATAACATATCCCCACCAAATACCAATAGTC